TGATTGCTTTTGTCTACTGATTCTTAAAGCAAAATGAAAATCCCTCTTGCTCCCATATCCTTCCTCCCCAAGGCCTTGATAAAATCTGGATTTGCAACAGAGCTGCTTGAAATAAAATTTTAACAAAAGTCTTCACGGGACAATCAAATCTGGTTAATTCAAATCACTTTGCAAACTATTTTTATTAAAATTAAAAAGCATCAAACAAATTGATGGTATGTACATCTTATAAGCCCGGTTATCGCCAACTTTTTGGATACACAGATGTAAGAAAAAAACATGGATTAACCAGGTCCGAAAACATATGCTGAAAAGTCACTAACACCAACTTTTAAATTTTTTACACACAAAAAGTTGTCTTTGAATAAAGGAAGAGATTGGGAAGGGAGGACTGGGACAGAGAAGATGAACAATTAATAGTCTCCAAGTACTAAAATACAGATTCTAAATTAATCTATTTTTCACTCTCACAGAAACCATTTCCAATGCATCTTTTTTTTTAATATGAAAATTTCATTTATGTCAATACAGTGAGTCATGGTGAAAAACAAATTATGGGTTCAAATACTCCCAGAGAGAGACATCTTTTTAACCAGAGTTAGAAAATAATTCTAGACTGTAGCCATTAAACCTTAAATCCTAAATTTTACTGCATTCTCCACTGAAATGCTTGCACTATACAGAGACATGATTTTGAAATAAATAAAAAGTTTAATATAAATTGATTAGGGCCAGCCCAGTGGCCTCATGGCAGTGCGCTGCACTACCATGCCGGAGACACAGATTTGGTTTACAAATCCAATCTCTTGCTCCTGGGCCAGGAGGAGTGGTGAAGGCTCCCTACGGCAGGAAAGAGGCAATGCTGCAGATTGTTCAACACTGACCTTTCTGACAAAGAATGAGATGTACAGATTCCAAAGGGAGTCCCATCCAGTGCCCGAAAGAAAAATTAAAAATAAATAAAAAAATAACTTAACTAAAATTAATTCCAGGCTCTTTGGTGTAATTGTTAATATCTAGCAATAAGAGAATCTGATTGTAGTAACACAGTACATGATGGTTCTTAACACTCAAAACCTAGGACTTGCTGCCTCTCTGATTGAGCTCACTGTCCTGGTTTTGTTGCTAAAAACTGCAAAGCTTATGGTCATTTAAATGTACATTAAAATGATACTGTACACACTGGAGGTTTAAAATATTTGTAAAATGTTTTACACTAAATTTAAATTTAGAGTTGGTTGATTACAAATGGCAGTAATCTAAACAAAGGATATATGTACCATAGTTGTCTTACTTGTAGGGCTCAACTTTACAAATCATTTCTTTCTCTCTCTCCATACTGTTTCCATTTACTTCATACTAGTATCACATATGAAGACCTGGACCTTTAAATGCCTATTAGAAAATATGAAGAATGTTCTCTGTAATTACTGAAAAATTTAACAAATAGCGTAAGATCAATCACAATTTATACTTGCACATCACATTTTCTTCATCACTACAAAGCGTGTCACAGAACTGTTGAGTATTTTAAAGTGAAAATTTGCATATTGTACTTAAGGAAACTTTTTCTATTCCAGTGCTTTTAAAAATACATTTCCTCATGATGAATATTTCACTCTAATGTTAGATGAGAAAATATCAGTCGATTAGGACTAAAAGATTAAATAATTTTGCTATTTCCATTTTTTTGTTAGCTGCTCACCAAAATCATTCTTTTAAAACAAATGAATCATAAAAGAATTGGGCTCTGATAACTTTGCAGTCAAAAAGCTTATTAATTTGTTTTTAACTGTCTGATAAGTCCTGAACAGGAAGTCACAGCCCTGAATTGTGGATAGAACACACCATACCATAGTGATGAAGAAGAAAAAAAAATGCAATGCAAATAGCCTGTTCTCGCCTATCTATAAACCCTGGTGAACACTGTAGTGATTTTACACACACTGAATTATTTAATTTTAAAGCTAGAATTATGTGTTAAATTTCTCTTTAGCCACATGACTTTCATTACAGTGAACCGAAAAGCATACACAAATCTTACCATACCAAATCAGTAACAGAACAGATTTTAAAATCATTTTAAAAATCAAACAGCTGCAGTCTTCCCCTCTCCTTTTATTTACCTTCCAAAACCTAAATTAAATTAATGTCCTGCATTTCTCATGCAAATTTTAATGTACCTGAACCCATGCAAGGAATGCAGTTCCTTACACTGCATTAAGGTGTAAGCAATGTCTCAGCACCCTGAATGCAGATCTTGACAGATCTTCATTCATCATTTCATCTTCATACGCATTCAGTTTGTGTATTCTGTTAATGATCTGGGATTTCAGTAGCCACTGTCGACATCATCCAATAGTTAGACACATTTGGACAACACTGCAGTAAGTATATCTGTGTCCTTTTTACACTAGCCGTCCCACTGTTGCTACGATCAGTGGAGCTGCATTGGTAGTTAATCACAGATCCAGCTGTTGCTAGTTGATGCACCCTTTACTTTTATTTACATAAAGCTTTTCAGTTCACAGCCAACTGTTATTTCTGCTGGAGGAGGAGAACACACATAAGCACATGTACACACATTCTTCTATGAGGTAAACTATGACTAATTTCACGTTCCATTGCATTTTTAAACTAATTTGTAAACACTTATTTGTTTTGTTTTTAACTTTTTTATACAAAAAATGATGGCATCAGATTCTCAGTAATAAGTACAAGAAAGATGAAACTTTGACTACACTTATCAAATATGAAATTGCTTTTCAAACAGAGGGAACATATGCAAAAGTCTGTGTATTAATGACAACTTAACATAACAAAAGTGAAATATGCATATTAAAAATGTCCTTATATAAAAAATGGTCTTGCAATGTACAGCAAAATGCAATAAAAATTGTTGGTTATTTTTCCCATCCCTAAAACAGCTATTGTTCCACAAAACTCCTTATATGTTGGTATCAAAGAAAAAAACAATGTATGTGATTAAACATGTTCTATGTTGTATGCTTGACGGATATTAAGGGTGTCTCGTAGCATCAAATCTCGAAGACGCCACAATGCATCTGCCATTGTGGTATGGGCCCCTTTACTTTTCAACCAGTGTGAAGGAAGACGGCTCTCTTGTTCTTTGGATAGATGGACATCACGTCTTCGTGCTGAATAATTAAGGAACAACTTATTTATCTCATGCCTCTTTTTAAACTGGTTTCCCCACCTCTCATCCAAGATTTCCCATCATATCAGAATAACATGGAATAAAATTCTACTGTACTTCTCTACTTCCCAACCCAACCTCCAGTCCCTGAAGAATATTCAGAACATGTATATTTATTCATTATTAGGCTTTCATAGAATCACAGAAGAGTAGAACTGGAAGGGACCTCGAGAGATCATCAAGTCCAGTCCCCTGCCCTCATAGCAGGACCAGTTCTAGGAACTAAAAGAATTAGTTGCATGAGTTTTGGTATGCTCCTCTTATTTTCTTAATTTCTGTTATGATTGCATGTGTGTTTTATTATTAAATGATCCACAGTTTTATTAAAATTCCTTGTTTCTGTACAAGCCACCTTACCGATCTTAAAATGTAAAAATAATAATAATAATAATAATAATAATGAGAAACAGGGAGCTTCACACTTGTGTTTTCTGTTGGGACTGAATTAGCTGAATACATATTTTATTATACTTGTATGCTAATCAAGTTTTGGCATAAAAAGTGTTATACTAAAAGTTATACTATAAAACAAGGGTATGTCTACACTACCCCCCTAGTTCAAACTAGGGGGGTAATGTATGCATACCGAACTTGCTAATGAAGCCCGGGATTTGAATTTCCCGGGCTTCATTAGCATAAAGCCGGCAAAGGCTAGGCTCCTTCAATGGGCTACACGCGGCACGGGGTTCGCACTAGCCGGCTTTTAAAAATGGCGGCGCCGGCTTTATGCTAATGAAGCCCGGGAAATTCAAATCCAATTTCAAGCCATAGAAATTTCAAGTTCATTTTAAGAACACTTTTGTAACTGGCTACCAAGTTAGGACTATGATAACCACTATAAATATAGATCTAAAATAATAAACATGTATTCTACTGCCACTGTCTTACCTGCAAGAGTCTGGTCCCACTTGCTAATACTATTTGATTCAGCACTAAGCCCCTCAATATATTTCAGGTAGGCCTCAGAATGAAGAAGCCTCTGGGTCTTTGGTGGAGGGGAGACAAACATTGGAGTTGTGGGCTGCTGTATAACTGGCTGGCTTGCTTGGCTCTGGCCAGGATATGGAGGTGGGGCCTGCTGGCCAGGTGGCCCAAGCATTCCAATCTGAAATGGCAAACGACAGGAAGAGAGTGAGAGCTATTTTTGTTCAGCTGCATGTAAAAACGACACCAGGTAAAAGGCAGCGTGAAGATTTTCTGCTTTAACCCCATACCTATCTAAGGGTGGCATTTTTACAGTTTCCAAAGAATGCAACAAAATACTCAGATAAGCACAGGTGTCCCACATCAGACACTAGCCTCTTAATTCAGCATCAGAATGAACAACGGTTGAGATTTAAGCACAGATATTTCAATATATAAAACAGAAAAAGATTTTCAGGTGAAACCCTAACATACCTGGGCTCCTTTTTTTCACTGAGGCACACAGGTGAAGGAACTGAGAGGGTTGGGCAATTCCTGGGATAGGTTGGACCTCCCTAGTCCAACACCCTTGGGACCTGACCAGTCCTGATCAAGGGGATTTGCCGGACCAGGAGAGGTCCCTCCCCTTCTGGTCCGTGCTAAAATACTGCCCGCACCGCATCCGCCCTCTGAGGTCCCTCCCCTTCTGGTCCGTGCTAAAATGCTGCCCCCACCACATCTGCCCTCCCCATAAGGCTCCAGCCTGCCCTGCTGCTGTCTAGCCAGCTACTGAATCATAGAATCATAGAGCTGGAAGAGACCTCAGAAGGTCATCAAGTCCAGCCCCCTGCCCAAGGCAGGACCAACCCAACTAAATCAACCCAGCCAGGGCTTTGTCAAACCGAGACTTAAAAACCACTAGGGATGGAGATTCCACCACCTCCCTAGGTAACCCATTCCAGTGCTTCACCACTTTCCTAGGGAAATAGTTTTTCCTAATATCCAACCTATCCCTCTCTCACTGACACCTCTAGGGATGGAGATTCCACCACCTCCCTAGGTAACCCATTCCAGTGCTTCACCACCCTCCTAGTGAAATAGTTTTTCCTAATATCCAACCTATCCCTCTCCCACTGTAACTTGAAGCCATTGCTCCTTTTTCTGCCATCCATCACTACTGTGAACAGCCTTTCTCCAGCCTCTTTGGAACCTCCCTTCAGGAAGTTGAAGGCTGCTATCAAATCCCCCCTCACTCTTCTCTTCTGCAGACTAAACAAACCCAAATCTCTTAGCCTCTCCTTGTAGGTTATGCGCGCCAGTCCCCTAATCATTTTGGTCACCCTCCGCTGGACCCTCTCCAATGCGTCCACATCCTTTCTATAGAGGGGGCCTCAGAACTGGACACAATACTCCAGATGTGGCCTCACCAGAGCTGAATAAAGGGGAATAATCACTTCTCTGGATCTACTGGAAATGCTCCTCCTAATGTACCATAATATGCCATTAGCCTTCTTGGCTACAAGGACACACTGTTGACCCATATCCAGCTTCTCATCCACTGTGATTCCCAGGTCCTTTTCTGGAGAACTGCTACTTAGCCATTCAGTCCCCAGCCTGTAACAATGCTTGGGATTCTTCCGTCCCAAATGCAGGACTCTGCACTTATCTTTGTTGAATCCCATCAGATTTCTTTTGGCCCAATCCTCTAATCTGTCCAGGTACTCTGGACCCTATCCCTGCCCTCCAGCATATCTACCTCTCCCCCTAGCTTAGTGTCATGTGCGAACTTGCTGAGGGTGCAATCCATCCCCTCATCTAGGTCATTAATAAAGATGTTGAACAAAACCGGTCCAAGAACTGATCCTTGGGGCACTCTGATAGAAACTGACTGCCAACCTGACATCGAGCTGTTGATCACTACCCGCTGGGTCCGACAGTCTAGCCAGCTTTCTATCCACCTTACAGTCCATTATCCAATCCATAGTGCCTTAACTTGCTGGCAAGAATATTGTGGGAGACCGTATCAAAAGCTTTGCTAAAGTCAAGGTAGATCACATCCACTGACTTTCCCATGTCCACATTGCCAGTTCTCATCATTGAAGCTAATCAGATTGGTCAGGCATGACTTGCCTGCAGCCTGGACTGGAGCTTCCTGGCTGCTGCCAGCCCCCTGCTACTGCCCACATGCTGAGGCCAGATCTCCCTGCTGCAGTGCCCGCCCTCCTCCCCTGGGCTCCCAGCTGAGTTGCTGGCACCCCCACTGCACTCCAACCCGGAGCCGGACTTCCCTATCTTTGGACATTATGGTCCAGGATCGTCTGTGATAAGAGAGGTACAACCTGTATTTATTTTCTTAAACTAAATGGTAATCTTAGGGGCAGGAGCTGTATTGTCTTGTGTAACTGTACAACACAACGGGGCCACGGGCATTTCCGACAGGCTCACAGATCAAATCATTTCCCCTCTGCAGTGTTAGAATTAGTCTAGTGAACTGGATGCTCAATGAACAACTTGTGAATACTAATCAACGAGAAGGAACATTTGATTCAATCTGCCTGACTGCTGAAGAACCAGATAGTGTCTTTATGGGTTTTTGAAGAAATAAAGATGGTGTAGCCTGTTTCTTGACGGTTTAGAAACAGAGCAAGGAGTCTTCTCACACACAGATAGGACAAATAATGGTTATCAGCAACTGCACATTGCACAGAAATGACTCATATCAGTCAGGATAGGAAAAAGAAGAATAGTGTCTCATTTAAACTGCAGCGGGCATTTTAATTAAATAGAATTTAAATAACCAAATTAGAATTAGAATTTGGCCAAGAAACACAAATACTTTTCTGTGGGTTCTTTAATGACCGCAAATGGTCAGAAATGCCCTGATTTTACATCTAATTTGAAAGACAACCTGCCTCACAGCACTCACTGGTTCCATATTAACTCAGAGAATACAATGGAGTCTGACTTTTAAAGTTTCATAAAGACAGCAAATTACTTACCGGTTGTCCAAAGGGACTTCCTCCTGGTGCCGGAGCGCCTACCATGGAAGGCACGCTCTGACCTATAACACCTACATTTCAAAATATTAACAAAATTAGTTTTGTTTCAGTTCAAGGACCAATGCCATTTTGTCTTTATTTATAAAGATCTGGCATCACTATCTAACTGAATATCATATCTTACCTACTGAAATTAATTTTATCCACCATACTAATACAATACTGCTTTTAACGGAAAGTTTCTAGATTAAAAAAAAGGGCAAGATAGTAAGATAGAGACTATTCAATTTAATCCCACCCCCTTTAAAAATAATTAAACTATTCTATTCTTTTCTGGTTTCCATTTTGCCAATCACTCAACTATTGTCTGACTAAATCTCACCATTCAAACTACACCTCATATTTGAAAGCAATTCTCCCATCCTTTTTTAAATTAAAAAACAGGAAATATAGATTTGTTCCATCTAGTGACAGCCAACATTTCCACTACAGTCAACATTATAAAATACTTTCAAGCAGTAGCACAACCATGCAATTCCCTTGTTTTAAAAAAAATGCTACGGTACCATATTAGTCTTCTAATGAGAAAAACAATTTGTAATTAATATTGAAATGAACATAGTCTTAAGAATAAAACAGTAATGTTGTCCATTTATTTTTTTAACTTTGGAAATTACATATTATGAAGTCTTTCCAATAGTTTGCATAAATATTTTAAACATTTTCCCGACTACATGAAGTGCAGCAGGGAACAGACCAGGTAAGCCACATTCAAAGATGAATTTACAAACCTAATTGAGAGCTGTCTAGTTTATGACATTTCTTTGTATTTGCGTCACTGCTTAATCTTATCATAATCACATAGAATTAACTTTCAAGTTAAAACTGTATGTGTATATTCTACCAGATGTAATCTGTGTGCAGTGTTCTACATCGGTGATTGAAGTTGATTTTAAAAGATGTGTCACCGAAGTTTTTAATTAACGTTTATTAAGCATAAATTTAGCTCATTTTCAAACTAATGACATCCTTGTTTCAAATCTATTTTCAGTGACAAACCTACTGGCAAGAATTCTGCTAATGCAAAGACTAGGTTATGTAAGAGATTTTGTGGGGGTGGAGATGGAAGAAACCTCTCCTCTTCCACTACTTGAGAATGGTCCTTCCCTCATTTGACACTTTCCAGATAAGGTTCTGAGGATCCTTCCACCCAAGGTCTATTATTTCTTCCTTGAATCTCTACCCTTTCAGTTAAAAAATGCTGAATCTATAATGTCAATTTATCCAGCTGGGATAATGAACAAGTGACTTCTTAAAAGTCTGCATAGAGGGGCATCCCCCAAACCAAACCACCCTGCTCTTAAATTGCACCAACCTATAAGCAGGGTATGCAGCTGGATCTTGCAGTCTATAAATAAGCTACAGTACCAAACCCATTCAAGTTATCAAGTTAATGTGAATTTACATACTAGTTCAGGAGGCAGGTTGCAGATCTAATACTGACTGACTTTATTCATTTACATGCAAATATAGAACCATGTTAACAGGACTTCAGGTAAGCAACTACTGTCGTTGCAAATGGGAAATAAAATGCAAACAGGATACCAAGATACGACTTTCTGTGCTTACCCACTGAGCGTGCGCAACATTTTAAAAGGCAACACTGGAGTATGCTGGGGGAGGGCGCAAAAGGGGAAAGGAGCAGCAATCTCAGAACAGGAGTAAGACAATGGCACTATCAGAGCAGTGTGGGAAAGCACAGAAATGCAACCATTCATCTTTTGCTCTGCTCGGAAATTTAATTTTTTAACGTGAAAGTTAAAACAAATGCAGAAAAATGCTGTTCTTTGTCAATGGAAATTTTGATGGTGAGGGAGTCACTTCACCAACATATACTTTAAATGAGTTTCAGGTCTGGGAGAGAACATATTGTTGAATCCCTAGCACTGAAGGCTAATATTGACCTGTAATATTGCACACAATTGTACGATTAGCCCAACAACTGGACATTTTATAGATTGCAAAGTAAGGATGAGGACTGCCTTCAAACTGGTATTTGGAGACAAAATAACAATGGCAATTTCTATTCTTATCATAAGTATATATAATTGATTACCTGACCTACTGCTATACAGAAATATTTAATCAGCTGTGTGCATTTAAATGGTCTTTGAGTATAATTTAAAAAAAAATTTCCTCAGGCATTGGCAAGAAGAAACCTCACCTATGAATCTAGTAAAAATAATTATATATTCTACTGAAATTCAAGGATAAGAACTAAGCTGCTTTCAGGGTTTGAAGCCATTGGTAAACTGATGCCCAAATAACTTCTGGCTAGTCGTTTTGACTAGTCATATTTCACCAGGTAAATCTTTTGCTGCTTGTTCATTATGCTGTATATGTTGTTCTGTCAACATTTATTAACATTCCAACAGACAACTGGGATCTACCTGGTACAATCAGCAGCATGGCACACATGTTACAGTTAGACATACCTGGAACATTCAGCAACAGTCAAGCAGCTAAGCTACAAACAAGTTTCAAATACTTCTGTAACATCTGGTTAAACTGCGAGAACATGAGGATGAAATAATGAGTGAATGAGAGGACATTCTTACCCGGTGGTGGGATGCCTGGGATGCCTGGCATACCTGGCGGAAGTTGGTGGGGTGGGGGCACCCCAGGGTGAAGTGGCTGCATGCTGCCCATGCTAACAATGCCATCAACTGGGCCCTGCAAAGGTGGCAGCACTGGCGGATAGCCACCTATCATGCCTTGAAGGACACAACAAATTTCAAACATGCATCAATAACATGCAATATGATCTAAATAATAAGACATGCACGACCCACAAATAAGCACCTTTAGTACAGCAAGACAATACTACAATTAGTATCTTGCAAGAATGAACAAAATAAAAATAAAAGTTATAAATATGAAATACCATACTTTGGATGAATTAGTATTTAGTGTATTTGTAATGTTCTTCATGGAACAAAAAAGCTGAATGTTCAAATACACGTTAACATAAGGAATACATTCAGCCACAATTAAATGTTACTAATGTGAAAGAATTTTAAGGTAGCATTAAGTTCTGCCATTTGTATTCAAATTAACAGCACAACATTCAGGACATCAATTTATGCACATCCATACTTTATGGGATAGCTCTATGGCCAAACCTAATTGGAGTGTATACAATTCTCTAAGCATTTTTCTATGCTCTGCATGCGGAAATCCTCTATCAAGAGTATTTATAATGCATGCTCTTTAACTCAATATAATGGATTGTGTTTTGGGTAGTTTTTTAAAAAATTACCTTCTATACAACCTGAGCAAATGTTTAAGTGGAAGATAAAAATGTGATCATTCTGACTGTGCTGGGCCATATCAACGTTCACCCCAAGCAATCCCACTGAAGTAAAATGATTTACATGGTACATAAAAATCAAGGCAAGAATTTGACCTCTGATACTTCCTAGGCCTCATAATAAAGAAAAAGATACCATGATGACTATACTGGACCATCTGCCAACAATCTCAATTCTTTGGGAGTCAGGAAGACCACAAGTACACAAGTACCATCAGTAAGCAAGCTGGAACAGGTGTGTATTGTGTTTATTAATCTCTAGAATTTTAACTTGTTGTTTCCAGTCCCTTGATGTTTGCTAACATTACCATGCAAAATGATCAAATAGCTAAGAAAAGATGTTATGAAAACTATGATAAGATGACTCAGGATTGGAGAAGGTTCTAAAGAGCAGAAGATAAGAGTAAATATGCAAAATACTGAAGAATCTACAGTACATGCTGAAAAACCATGTCTAAAGTCTCTATCGCACTGACAATGAACAACCCATATAAAAGACACCTTGAAGAATGCAGATTTTTCTGGATCAAGACCTATGGATAACTCTCAATAGTTCTTATTGATCACTCTCTCTCTAATAGAACTAATGAGTTTTGAAGCAAAGGGCATTTGTAGCTGAAAAACAGCAAGTAGCCAAGACACAGCGGTTTGGTCCCACTCAAATTACAAGTTTCTTTAGACAAAAAAATTAGCTCAACGTTTAAAATGTACTAGATGTCCATTTCAAATATTTTTGAACTGTCTCTATGAATTTATCAATATATTTCAATGCACATTTTAATTAAAAAAAAATTAAAATCAGACAAAAATATCCATATACTAAGTGGTCCCAAAGTAGCATGAAAGTCCTACTACATCAGCTTGCAGTCAAATCTTCAAATCAGACACTTGAATCTTTCCTTTCAAATTCAAAAGCTTATTTATGCTGCATGACTAATGGAATACTGACTCAACAGCCAATTGACTTAATATAACAGCAGTGAAATCTTCAGTAAGGGTCACTTCCAGTAGCCCAGCTCATAGTTTATGTGACTACTTTTCATATTTCAGTGTGCAGTTTCCACTACAGTTTTGATTAATAAAAATAAATCTAATAGGTAACCTATTTTTGGGCTCCTTGGGTATCTGTTTACATCTTCTGAATGAATTGTACTTTCCCTCATTCTCCATATAAGCCACAGTTATTTACAGAAGCTCTTGTGCATATATAGTTTTACAAGAGACTGAAGATTTGTTTCCTAAACATGCATCTTAGAAAGCGATAGGATTTCTCAGATGCTGTACAAGAGTCTTGTAAATAGCCGCACAGAATTATTTCACGCAGATGAAAGTAACAGAACTGAATATATATGGTCCTTAATTTTTCTATCACCTCATTACTAAAAGACTCCTGAAGACTGGGAAGCTGACAACTCCATTATCAGTTGTAAGGAAATTATCTGAAAGTATTTTGCATGATATAACAAAGACACACTTTGGAAATTAATTTGTATCCGTTTGAATTATGAGTTTTGCATTTGAAGACCTCACCACAAGAGCTAAAGTAAATAGTAAATATTACATGCAGAACTTAAGGTTTCACAGGGTGCATTACTGGCTATGAAAAGATTCCCCACAAAAAATGTAAATTGATGGTCAATATAAAGACACGAAAGGCTGAAATTTGCAACTTTCCTTGCTTGTATAAAACAATGATCAATATATAATAAATGTGGTGGTGGGGAACTTTGTTTATAACATATGCAAATGATCTGGATGAGAATGTAAGAAAGCAAAATCTGTTAAAGGAATAACAACTGAACGCAAAAGATGAACAACCAGATTCAGAGAATTTCAGAGAAAAACCTGAATTTCTTAACAGGTCTGAGATACTAAAAGACAAATGCAATTTACTGTAAACAAATGCTTTGCAGTCTGGATATCATAAGCCAAATAAGAAATGTGTATTTAATTGAACATCCATGCACCCTACTGACCAGAGAGGAATTCAGAGGTCATAACAGAAAATAAAACTTCAAACTGCCAGCTTTAAGTATGGATGCAGCCTTAAAAAATAACAAAAACCCCAAAATACAATACTGAAAACAAATGAAGTAACTCGAATGCATTAAGGGAGAGATAAAATATACTTTAATTGTATGTACAAAGCTCTGTTTTTAGAACTTGACTAAATTAATGTGATCTTTTTAAGTAATCGGTGACAGAATTAGATACTGGAGAAGGAAAAGACCTAATTAGCTCACATCTAATACATACTCCTGCCAACATAGGATGGATTCCCGTAACATATTCTCCAGGGCACAGTTGGATTATTACTGCTAATCACACCACCAGATAATACAGATTTGTGGAAAAAGCCCTCAGAGTGCAGTTTTATTCTGTGAAGTAAATTGGTAAAAATGGCAATGTGGGATTTCATATTTATTGTCTCAATTATCCCAGATCTCTGTTTGCAAGAAAATAACCTTTTAAACCGACAAATCTGCAAACTCCAACTGGAATCTGAAAGTCAGGCTGGAGTTTTCAGTCTCACATGGCACCAACAATAAAAGATTTTAAACTGATCCTCCTTAACACTCCATTGAAGATGCATGCACTAAAAGAAATCCAGCTCACTTCCCTTTGCAGTTCTAATGGGAGCCAATATTTCCTTTAACAAGTAATGTGAACACAGATGAGGGAATACAAACAGGGAGCAGCTCTGCTGACTAAGGAGGAACCTATTTTACAGTCTTTTTCAGAAGAATATTAACTACTGGGAGAGGGAGGGAGGGGGGAGAATCAGGATAATTTCAAGTTTTTTATTATGAAGAAATGCTGAAGAGGCTGAGCTTTTTCTTCAGTAGGAATAGTGACCCAAGAGAAGTGTTCAGAGTTATGAAGGGGTTTGATAAAGTGGATGAGGAAAAAATGGTCATAGCTCCTACTTTTTACCTGCAACAGGTGTCAACTGCTGATTGAGCATTCCCATTGGTGTTGGTGGCGGCACCACCCCCATAAGAGCCCCAACAGGAGTGCCTGCCCGGGGGGAGGAATTCTGCTGCTGTTGCTGTGCTGCTCGTTCTCTCTCCTGCTGCTCAGCAACTTTAGCTGCCCGCTCTGTAAAAGTATTTTAGATTTTCAGTTCTGTTTTGTAACCCAGAATTCCAAAATATTATCTGTTCATTAAAGAGGACTATTAAAACACTGGCATAGTTTAGTCTAATATAAAATAGAAGAGATTATTCTACTCATACAGCATATAATTTGATTTCATTTGGCTCCCGCTAAAAACTCGTAAAGAACCTATCATGAAAAATAATCCCATCATGTTTTAAAAATGTGAAGTTTTGTTTGATTAAAAAGTTAATTTTAAAAAGTCAAACAACAGATTTAATCACAACACCAGTGTTACCAACATGACAGCAGCAGTCCAGCACTAGGCCTGGTCCACGCTAGGAAAAGTGGGCAACCTTCTCCCACTTTTGATACCACTGGTTCAGCTAAGCCAGCAGTTGCAATGTTGGGAGCTCTCATGTAGACGTGCCACCAGTTGCTGCTGGCATTTCAAAGTTGCTGCTGGCATTTCAAGCACTCTGTCAGTTGAACTTGCCCCACGCAAGATAAGGTCATAAGAGTGTTTAAAATGCAAATGGCAATCAATGGCCTATTTACATCAGGCCACCTCATATCCATACTACTAGTGGAGCTGAAACAATAATAGCAAGAGTGGGAAATTCTTGCAAGATTTCCCTAGTGTAGATAGGTCCTTAGTGTTTTAGAACATAACAAGCAGCAGATAGATGGACCAAAAATACTTCCTCTGCCTCTCCTCCTGTCTTCTCCCTTCCCCATCACAGTTCCCTGATGGCCAGTTCCTTTTTAGCTACAGATGTCTAACTCAAATAGTGCTGCTCTTTAGCTTGTGAATGTGACTGGTAACTAGATCAAGTTCCTCACTACTACCATAAGAATAAAAGCTCGACTGCACAGGAATCTGAGGAGAAGACAATTTTACATGGGAAAGGAGGGTATTCCAAATGCCCGTGCAAGGTGCTATTTGGGCATGCAAGTTTCTGATTTGTTTCCTCTGAATATTATATCCTACTGAAGCAATGAGAAGCAACAAAGAATGAATGCAGCATACACCTCTGTCGATTTTAACAGCAATGAATGGTAGGACTAAAAGTTTTCTTGAAGTATGTGAAAGATGAAAATTGTTACTAAAAACATCAATAAAGGTTTCTTTGTCAAATGAAGCTAAGAAGTTCAGCAATGGGATTAAATTCTATATTTAATGACTAAACCCTAGCTTTTACCAGCATAGAATTCTAAAAGTCTTTATCACATAATTGTGTTTCATGGGTAACTTGCTTGTGCAACCCCCTAGAAGTATATAAATACACTGAAAGACCAGTTCCATTTCTTCTAGGCATTTCCTTCCGTGTTTTCACCCATCATTTCGGGAAGGGATGACGACGCATAAGAACTCCTGAATTTATTACAGGCAATCCATATAGGATTGAGAACAGAGAACACAAGCCATTTAAGGGGAGATGCCAAAGAAGGAAAGTGGACACTCCTCTTCAGAGTGATTAAAGAATTTGGAGACAAGACAGAACCAACTGCTCAGACTCTCCTTTAGTTTTGGCCTGTTAAAACAATGATAAGATAGAAGGAGAATCCCTTTAGACACTCTGCTGAATTACCACTATATTTTCTATATGACCATAATGCTAGTAACTTCAACTCTGGAATGCTGAGTCTTGAAATAGGATTGAGACTCACCTAATGCAGGGCAATGCTACCTAAAATCTGTCTACTGATGTAAGAACGGGCACAGATCACAAAACCGTTTCAGCAGTGCAGAGGTGGGACCCAGACGTAGGAAAGTTCAGCTGGGAGTCACTATAAAGTTCAGTGATTCCAACCCCAAATACTTCAGACCAGGGTATGAAACACTGGAATGACCTATTCAACATGGTTTATAAGGGGGGAAGATGCCCCTCTGCTTGAACTTCACTTTTCCTTTGCTTCATTCCTAGTGCATATTTACAAAATTCTTTACAGTGCAGCTAAGTCAGCCATGCAGGCATGTGCAGTAAGTCTATATGTGCACGAATATTGCGAAAAATTGTACAGCTTATACCCCACATGCGCAAGTTTCCATTTTCAATAGGTCAAATTCAGCCAAATCCAAACCAATTTTTACCATAAAACTGGGGGAAAAAACCCTTATAATAGAGGTGTAAAAATCACACCATATTTCAGCTTTCTATCCTACAATGCAGTGTCCACATCAGCACTTGCATGAATTTTGTGTGTTTTTATAAGGGAAGGAAAATATTTTCTCCCACCCCCACATACT